TATATATATATATATATATATATACATATATATTTAAAATAGTAAAAGGATAAGTATTCATAATGGTATTGCTTATTATCATTGTTAATTCGTCATCTGTCCATCAATAAAATAAAGGATTATCGCATGTTTTAAAATTTCCAATAGTAAAAAATTATATTCTTTATTTATCCTGAGTAAAATTAAATTAGGATGATCCCATGTCATGAATAAAAACATACTCCATCACATAAATTTGAAAAGACTCCCGACATCAGACATCAAATAAAGTTACAACTTAACGATAAACATAAAACATGCGTATAAACTTAGAAATGACCTTTATTTTATTTTATTTTTCTTTACAAAAAGAAAGATCCAAATGGATCAGTTGCTTTTGATTGGTGTTTCTTCCTTGATGGGTGATATGAGTAATGACCAAGACCTAGCCAATTGATTAGGAAAACGTTTTCCTTTTTCATTTCAACAAACAAGAGAAGGAGGAGGAGGAAAGCAATAAAAAAAAGGAACTCTCGAAAGCAGAAAAACTTTGTGACTGTCACGTCAAAGAATTATCACGATTGATCTACAGTGATTAATCGAAAATAGCAAAACAGTGATATTCCGGTTCTATCCGTAAGTGTCTCTTAAAAAAAAACATGAATTAGATGTGAACACGCACCGCATCCAATGACCCACAACAATTATATTTTAATGCAGAAAAGTAAAAGGATGGTGAATGAGGTGAGCAAACGAATTAAGGGTTTTTGTCCGCACTCGCGCATCGACATTAAAGAAAAAGGCCATTTTGTTGACAAGGACTTATTGTGTCGTATTACGGGGAATAACTTCAAAACATAAACAGCTAATTTGCAAGAGACAAGCCATAATACGACACGACGTGGGAAAAACCATGACAATCCGAGCAACATAAGCTCTCGTTTTAACAATTAACAATATTAAACTCAAAATTTAAAAGTTGGGTTGGGTTGGGTTTGAGTTTGGGTTTAGAATAAAACACCAACGTGAATGAGAAGAAAGCAACCTAAGCATAATACATTCTAAGCAAGCAATGCATTGAATAGAAGAAAGAAAAGTCAAATAAAGACAATGTTCCATGTCCTTGTCCAAGCATAGCTGTGTTTTTTTTACCACTTAGTGCCCATTAGCAAATCCCAAAAATGTTATTAAATTTTTGTGTGTTGTTTTTTTGGCTCCGTTGAGTTTTCAAATGCGGTCCCTTTGGAATACATCCAAAATTCCCAACCACTACCAACCAGATGAGCCTTCCCCCCACTATCGTAAAACAAACCCAGTTCTTTGCATTTGCCATTATCCCAAATCCATCCACAGAATAAGATAAACCCATTCCAATTTTAGTCTTCTTTCTAGTTTCTACTATCTAGAATCTCGATAGAGTAACGATGATTAACCAAACAAACAGATGTAGAAAGATGGGCAAGTCTATGTGTCCAATCACTGTTCTTGCTCAATTTTCATGTCTTTTCTGGTGAATAATATTAATAATAGATTGGGGTTTTGGTGTTTTTGGATGACTGGGATGGATGGTACGCCAATGCCATCCCACGAGAGGTCTTGTACCAATTATTTACAACAACATAAGGGGATCAAAATTTCAAAGCAAGCAAAAGCCTAGCAGAACATGCAGAAAGGCATGCACTGATGTCAAGGATAAAGACGCAAAAGGCAAAACAGGGCCAAAGCTCTTCCCTGGGAGAAGGCGTGATTGAAGTTAAAAGAAGCAATGAAATGAAACAAAAGGTAGGGGACTGATGAAGAAGACTGAAACGCCAACGAAATCTTTTATATTTGATTTAAGGGAGGCTAGTAGTACAACAGTAAGTAACACAAAGTAGTAAACATTTGATTTATGTTCATAACAAGGAGCATATGTTCCTTCCACAGTTCAAGTTCTGAAAAATTAGTGCTTACAATAAAATCCATTTACTAAATAACATGTTGATCAACCACCAAGCATTTTACCCCAACGCTTCCCTTCATCAATCATGGTCAGAAGTGAGCCAGGGTAAAACCTTTTACATCTGTTGGGTGGTTATGCCAAATCCCACAATTTGAGTTCTGATCCTTCCTTCCAAGCTGCCGAAAATGGCCGCCGGCCTTCTCAAGCAACTTGAAGAGACATAGAACAAGACAAGTATCCCCAGAGCAAGAATGATATCGAACAGTTCCGAGGGACGACGGTAGCACAACTCTAAAATTACCACAACAAATGGTAAACACAGTAAGTAAGTAACAAGTAATACTAGAGAATCTTACAACTACTACACACGAGGACAGTGCAAAAGGAGGCGGAAGGAACCCCAGTAAAATGTCAAGCTTTTGCTATGTATGGCTGTTTGTAGGTAAAGTTAAGTAGAGTTTATTAACAGTCAGGATTGACGAAGTTGCTTATCTCCTCCATGAGACAATAGAAATGCTCATTGTTTGGCAGGAAGTAGAAACCGATTGTGGCCTGCTTTAGATAAAGGAGCTTCACATCCTGACCTGAATTCTTCAGCCCTTCCACATACGCCAATTGCCAATCTTGGACAAGATCAAAACCAGCCACAACAACAAGACTTTTGGGGAATTTGAGCCCTTCAAGGCTTTTATCTCTAGGGCCAAATATATTACATGCTGGGTGGTCTCTGTCTTCTCCTTCAGGAAGAAAAGCTCGCCAGTACCAATCGCGGTCTTGAATTGTTACGAAATACTTCCCATCCAATCTCTTTTCTGATTCTGTTCTCTTTTGCCCACCAAACATGGGGTGAAGAAGGATGTTTCCCAATACCTCAACTTCTGCTTCAGCTGCTTTTACTGCAACATGGTGAGCAATGTTGCCACCTGAACTGTCTCCAGCCAGGTAAACATGAACCTTTGAGTCCTTCCCACTCTGAAGCCATGTTCTTGATTTAACCCACTTGAGAGTTGCCCAGCCATCATCATACGCACAAGGATATCGATGTTCGGGCGATCGACGATAATTTACTGACACTACAACAGCCTTGCATGTGTTAACAAGACGGCGACAGAATGTATCATAGATGGCACTGTTGGCTGAGGAATGAGTGAAGCTACCACCATGGAAGAAAATTATGACTGGGACAATCTTGGTGGTGCTCAAGGGTTTCTCAAGATCCACAATCCCCCATTGAGCCTCATTTTCAGGGGCCTGTAGGTAAACCCGGTTAAGGAGCCCGGTACCTCTATCAACGTGATCGAATGAGAAAACCCCATCAACTGGAATTGTATTGGCAGGGACTTTGCGGTCAAGAAACTCTGCCAACTCACGGTTGAATGTTCCATCAGCCCGGCGCAGGAGATTGTAAGCTAGCTTGAAATTGGAGATGAGTACCCATGTATTAAGCGGAACGACCCTCTGAAAAAAGGAAAAGAAATGACAAGGGTTAGAACTTGAATCTATCTACAATATTTCAAGCCTTCAAAGTATAAACAACCAGACTGGTTATATGCATAGAGAAAAACACCTGGATACAGAAAAGAAATTACAAGTGTAAATAAACAACGAAAGCCCCAAAGCCAGCAGGAAATTATTGAACGAGGAAGGCAAAATCGGTTCAAAAGGGGAAAACAAACGAGGATATGCCAAATTCACCTCAAATACCTTCAAATCTTAGTGAAATTTGCAAACATTTGCACCAAATGAAACTAGAACTTATCAAACTTGTAACTTTCCAGAACAAGAAATTGGACCCAACACAGAAGAAATAGAAAGAACTAAGAAAATCCAACCAACCCACGAATCTTGAGCACAAAAGATAATTTTTCCTGTATGAAAAATAAGTGATTAATATAAATGCCCTTGAGAACAATTCAAACCTTCAAACCAAACAAAAAGAGAAAAGGGAATCAAACTTGAGTTTGGCCCCAAATGAGACTCTCAAGTTCAACAATCTCCAACTTGCTAGAACCAAAAATAGGCAGGCCCAAAATGGCAACACGATAAAAGTAAAATTGAAGAGAAAAACAAGAAGAGAGAGGGAGGGCTTTGAGGGACTAAGATTGATCAAGGCAAGGAACAGAGTGTACCTTGGATTCATTCACGTTGACTTCATTACTGCCAGCCATGAATATCTCTTTTTCTGACGCTCTCTCAACACAGCAAAAGATTCACAACCCAGAAAGAGAGACGCTTAAAACCCAACAATGATCCTGAGCAAAACACCCCCTTTAATGGACATAATAGAAAAATGGGAAAAATGGATGAGTTTGGCAAAGGATGTGATGAGTTTGGCTGAGACCTGAGAGAGAAAGCAAAGGATGTGATGGGTTTGGTTGTTCTGTGTGGCTCTCCCTCTGTGCTGATGGGTTTGGGTTTGTTCTTTGTACCTCCTCTTTTGAGTTTTATCGGATTGATTCCTCGTTTTGGGTTAACTGAACAAGGAAGAGACACTTCTCTTTCTGAAATAAGAGAGCAGAGACAGCTCAGACCAAGCACAGAGATAGATCAAAGATATCACTCTGAGAGACAGATAAAACGTACAAACACCAAAAAAAAAAATAGAGAAAGAGAAAGGCAGAGAGAGAAAGAGAGAGATTGAGAGTCAAACGCAAAGGAA